CACATCAATGAACTTTTCATATTGTTACATGTTACGTTACCATTGGTCTCTCTCCCTTGCTTTTACCCATGCATGCCTGATTTTATAATATGAATTGGTCATTTGGAAAATATTCATTACTGAGTTATACAGATATTCCAATTGTTGACACATTTAATTATATAACATTATCACATGTCATGGAGCCTCTGGGACATTCCACTGTACAATTGTGAGAAAATGACAGTGGAAAAGGTAGATAACATTTTTGTAGTATTTAAAAAATAGTTTTGACTTCACAGACACCAGGGAGTTCCTGGACCATATTTTGATAACTGCTAGGCTAGCACTTCAAGGAGACTGGTTTAGAGAGAAACAGAAGCTAGGTCAAAAAGGACCTGTGGGTGATGCTAAGGAGTTTGCACTTTACACTAGGGTGATGAGTACTTATTTAAAGGGCTTTAAGTGGAGGAATAGTGTGATAGGATTTATACATACACACACACACGTGTGTGTGTGTATTTAACATGCAATAAAATGTGTAGATCATAAGATTAATTCACTGAGTTTTAGCGATTACATATACCCATGTCACTAACATCCAAAGTAAGATACAGAACATTTTCTTTCTCCCAGAAAGTTCCCTTGTGCTCCTTTCTAGTTCATTCTCCTACAACCACTAAGTGTTTTCTATCACCCTAGATGAATCTTGCCTCTTTTTGGATTTCATAAAAATGAAATCATATACTCTGCATATTTTTCTTTTGTTTGGTATCAATGTTTTTAACCTTTATGTTGTTGTGTATGTCAGTTGTCCATTCTTTTTAAAAAATTACTGAGTAGTATCCCTCAGTTGGCACATAATTGTATTTTCCTGTTTTCCTCTTGGCATCATCTCTGCTTCCATATTAGCACATACTTATCTAACTTATTCTTGTTAGCTGTGGTATAATATTCCACACGTACTGTATTTTGTTTGTTTTTAATTTTTAAATTTATAATCAATGTTTCACTGAACATCCTTATACTTACCTCTCTGCATATCTGGGAATATTTCCCTGGGATAGATACCTAGAAATGGAATTGCTGGTTTGAAGAGTGCCTACCTATTAAATTGTGGTAGATCCTACAAAGTGCCCTCCAAAAAGGATTGCATCAGTTTGCACCCCGCTTCATAGTGTTTGACAGTGATCCCCACATCTTTGCCAATGCTGGATAATTCTTTTAAGATTTTTTTCCAGAGAGGCAGAAAATGACATCACATTATATTATGTGCTTCCATGATTGTGATGTTGAGCATATTTTTATATGCCTATCTCCTGTCAATTACTTATGTATATCATTTGCTCATTTTTCTATTGTTTGATTGTTTTCTTTATTTTTTTGGTAACAGCTTTATTGAGATATAAATCATGGACTATTCAGTTTACCCATTAAAGGTATACAATTCACTAGTCTTTAGTATATTCAGAGTTGTGCAACCATCACTACAATCAATCTGGAACATTTTCATCACCCTAGGAAGAATTCGTCCTGATTTTTTTTTTAAAGGTTTTACTGGGGAGTTGGGGGAGGGGAACAGCATTGGGGAATCAGGGAAGGGGAACAGACAAGTTGCTGTCCTTTTGTTCTTCAGTCTAGTTGTGGAGGACGTCACTTCACNCCCCGCCCCCCGCCGCGCCCCGGGACCCCGGCCAGCCAGCCGCCCAGCCGCCCCTCGGCCGCCTTTGCACCCGCCCAGCTCGGACTTGTTCTCCCCACTCCAGGCGTCTCCGGCAGGAGTGATACTTGGTGACATATTTTGAAAAGGATGTCATTTAAAAAATAGTCTTCACTTGCTGGAAGAATGGAAGGTTTTGGTGTTTGCGCCATGGGGATGGAAAAGGGAGTATCGACCAGACGCCTGCACCTTATACGTAGGGAGAAAGTCTAAATACCAAGCCCTTGGAGGTTTAGAGTTTGTTTCTGAGTTCTGGTCTCTTCTCTGCCAGTAACTCAATGTGTGACCTTGAGCAAATCACCACTGCTCTCGGGGACAGAGCTTCCTCAACCTTAAAATACAAGGGTTGGGCAGGTGACCCCTGAGGTCCTTTTAACTTCAATCATCTATGTTTTCAATTCTTTTGGAGTTTTACTCGCCATTACCTTCCTTCCCCTCTCATTACCTGATCCACTGCCTCCTCTTTCAAATGTCACCCTCTTTCAATATAGCCTTTCTATTCACTGTCATCAGCCATTTCCTCAACAATCCGGCCCACTTGCTCAGCTGGGGAGGGGACAAGGCTAGCCCTACCCCATCAACTCTCAGCTTCACAGAGGTGGTATTTCCTTCCATGTTTACCCCCACCAAAATCCAAACGGTATCAGGGCCGGTCTAAGGAGGGCAGGCTGCATAAAAATGGATCCCCTTCCCCTACCATCCAGCCCCCCACCCCCACCCCATTGCACACACACACACACACACACCTGCATTCATGGACATAAAACCATCCCAGTGACGCCAGAGCCCCTTTCATCTCGGAATCTCCCAGCGCCAGGCAGAGCTCTAATTACCCCAGCACCCCCCCTGGCCCCGCCGGTTCCCCTGCTGTCATTAGCCCAGTTTTACCAGCGGGGGCCACAGCCTTCCCACGGCTTTCAGGGCAGGGCCCTATCTGCATAGTCTGCTCTTGGAGTGCGTGCGTGTGTGTGTGTGTGTGTGTGTGTGTGTGTGTGTGTGTGTATGCCTGTTAAGGGGGAGCTGTTCTACAAAAATCACTTGCTAAGTGTGAGGGTTCTGACCAACAGCCTATCTGAGTTGAGCTGCCCTGGCTCATCTTAGTCTCAGCCACCTACATCCTCAACTCTGTTGCGGCCACTTCTCTTACAGGGGATATTGGGGTCTACTGTGCGTGGGGGAGGGGAGGGTGCATCTTTTGGGACTCCCCTGGAATCATGGGGATGAGAAGCGCAGCTGGGATGAAACCCTTGGGCTGCAGAGTGGAGTGCTGGTGATGAGGGGTATGCAATGGGTGAAGGGAGCCTGCAGTGTGTAGTAGTGGCAGCTGCAGCGGGGAATCCAGGCTGCAGTGTGCAGAGTCAGCATGCAGTAAGTGAACCTGTGGGTTCCGCCTGGGCTCACAATGGACATGCAACAGCTGCAGTGTGGGGCAGGAGGCTGCAACGCAGTCAGAGCAGCATGCAGTGTGAGGTGCACTGAGGGTAACTGTCTGCTCTCAATACCTCCTTCCTTGGTGATCGGGTTTCTCTGAAACCCTGTTTCAGCAAGGCTGTGGTGTGCAGTGTTCAGGGTGCACGCTCTACCCTGTGTGGAAATAGTCTCTTGGGATTGGGCTGCCCAAGGAGCTGGGAGAGAATCCCAAAGCATGGGCTACGTTTATACTCTGCATCAATCAGGCAGAACCAGGAGGCAATGGAGAGGTTTGGCTGTCATCTAATTAGGGCAGGGTGACTGAGCCCAGAGGGAAGATGAGAGTGCTATGGTTTTGTCTCCCCTCCATTCTGGCTTCCCCCACCACATGTCTTTATGACAAAAGGCCTTAAAGATATTGGGTGAGGGAGACTTTCTGAAATCCTAGATCCAGGGCCATAGAAAATGAAATGCTTCCTGATCTACCTTTTTTCCCCACAAGGACACAGTGGACACCTTGAACTCAAAGACAAGTGTTCACCATTCCTATCTTCTCCTTAACACCTTCCCTGTCCCTGGCTCCCAATAAGAGCTGCTAACAGACCTGGGCAAGGGCAAAGTGAAGGGCACACTGCCTCCAAAGTAGACATCTGGCCAGCTGCCAGGACCCAGCCCAGGTCTGGGTTTATAGCCCCTGCCCCTGTGTTGTCATGGCCCTTTCCCCCCCACTCATCCTACCTACCCCCAATTCTTGAAGCTTCTAGCTCTTCTCAGAGTCATTTCATCTCCAGCTCTTCCTCTTTCCTTGCCACGAAATCCCCACCTGGGCTGTCTCCTCCCATCCCCCCTCCACCTCTGCTTCAGGGCTGAGTTTATGGGGAGAACAGGAAGGTGGGGCACAAGTGAGGATGGGTAGAGACCCTCCAAGGAGATATGCCTGGCAGCCCCCTCCCTCTTAGATTTTGGTTGCCATGGAGGCAGCAGGAACAGCCTGTTCTCTGGGATCCCATCAGAGCAGCTATGCCCAGGCCCCTCCCTCTCTTCCTCCTGCCTTTCCTCCCTCCCAGATTGTTGCTAGGAAGCACCCCAAGATTGCTCAAGGGCCCCACCCCTAGAAACCAGGAATCTAGATATCTTTCTGAAGAGCTCCCCCCAAAAGCCTTGAAGCCAAGACCCCACACAGCATACCCCTCTCTTGCCAAGAAGCCCCGGGCAGTTTGGGGGAACAAGGATAAGCCGTCTACCGGCCTGTCCAGGCACTAGCTCTGTGGCCTGGGCCTCAACAGTTCCCCTCCCTCGACTCATTTTGACCTCCTTGGATGATGGCAGCATGTGATAAGGTGTCCAGCAGAGACCCCCTCAACTCTGCGGACACAGCCCCACATATTGGGGAGTTCTGGAAAGACAGCAGAGGAAACTGAGGTACCACCAGCTAAGAGAACTTAAAACCCAAGTGTTTCTTCCCCCTTAGTGATCTTTCAATCAAGAAAAGATGGTGGAAGTAGAGGAAAGAAAGAGGGGACAGTTTATGGGAGCTGGGGATCAAGTGGCTGGCAGAGATGAGAGACAGACTGGGGAATTAGCAAACAATTGCCCTGCTAAAAGTAAAGTAGGTGCTTTCATGCCCCCCTATCAATCACCTTTATCCCATCAGGTACCCTGGTTATGGGTCACAAAAAGCGGAGCCAGGGAAGGGACTCAGGCCAGGCTGAGCCTTGCTATTGGTGGCTGAGGCAAGAAGTGGAAAAAGAAGTTGACACCTTCTCCATGACATCTTTCAGGATTTCTCCTGCTTTTATTCATTCATTTGACACTTTTTTTTTGAGCATTTAATATGTGCCAGGTATTGGATCCCCTAAAGTTCCCAGCTTCTGGTTTTACTCCCACACAGAACCTGCTCATCCAGCCTTTGCCAGGAGAAGAGAGGAGGCAAGAGGTAGGGGGCTGTCTCCTTTACCACAGAGTTTGGGTTGTACTATACCACAGCCCTCCCCATCCAGTTAAAGGACACGTGGGACAGGCTGGTGTGGGGGCCAAGAGTATAGAGTGGCTCTCAGGACCTGGAGGGAAGGGCAATGCAAAGGAATGGCAGGCTGGCCTCCTTCTCTGACACTGTCCAGGCCTCAGGATCACAGTATCTCTCTTCCCTGCACTGGGAGTATGGAGAAGGAAGGGGTCCTTCAGGGTGTTAGAGAGAAAACTACTCCGAGGATGGTTCAAATTCTGCCTTTTACTATTCTGGCTGGTCTTTTTCTTGACCTCTTGTGAGGTCAGTGGGAAGACAGAGATAGGAAACTGTAGGGGATCCAGGGCTGTCCCTGAGTTGGGGCCACCATGTGGGTCTCTCCCCCATCCTCCCCTCCCCCAGATAGATAGAAAGCAGGGATTTTTTGTTTTTTATAAGATTTTATTGGGGAATTGGGTGAGGGGAACAGACAAGTTGCTGTCCTTTTATTTTTCAGCCTAGTTGTGGAGGACGTCGCTTCACTGGCCCATGTTGGTACTATCATTGCGCTCTTCCCAGGTGAGGCAGTCGCTCGCTGGCCATTGGACAGCTGCTCACGGTGGCTGCCAGCCACTCACAGTAGCTCACGGCAGCCCACCGCAGCAGGGGCTGCAGCCTACATGGTCACTGGCGACTCACGGAANCAAGAACAATTTAGGAAGTGGTATTGAGAGAATTTGGCCATCAACTGGATGAGAGCCATGAGAGAGAGGAAAAAAATCCTCTCTAGTGTTTAGATTTCTGGTTTTGAGGACTAGATCAACGATGGGATTATAAGGAGAGAGTGGGAGTAGTGTAGGACTGTTGTTAGGGTTTGGGTGCAGATGAGGGGTGGAGATGACACGTTTGATTTTGGCCTTGTTATGTTTAAGGTGCTTGTGTGGGCTATCAAAGAGAAAATACTCAGTAGGCAGTTGACTTCAGAAGGAGAGGTCTAGACTAGAGCTCTTGATTTAGGAGCCGTCACTGCAGATGATAATTGAAGCTATGGGCATGAGTGAGATTGCCCAGAGAGTGTGGAGAGTGAGCGAGGAAGTGGGTGACCCAAGCCAAATTCCCAAGGAACCAATCACACTTAAGGAACACACACAGGAAAGGAATTCCATATAGAAGCCTGAAAAGAAGGGGTCAGCTAGGAGAGAAGAAAATCAAGAGAGGGTGGTATCAAGAAAAGCCCAGGGAGGAAGGAGAGGACTGAAGAATGAGGAGGTGTTTCCTGGTGTTAGGTTCTGCTGGGAGGTCAGTGAGATCAGAACTGAGACATGTCCGTGGGGCTTAACAACAGGGGCTTGTTGATGAGCTTAATGAGAAGATTCATGCAGTGGGAAGGACAGAAGTGATTAAAGTGGGTTACATTGCAAATGGAAAGTAGGGAGGTAGAGACAGTAAGTGTAGAGACCTCTTACGCTGTGATGAGCAGGAGAGAGAAAGTGGTGGTTAATTGGAAATGTAGGGTCTGCAGGAAGTTCCTTTAAAAATAGATGTGTAAACACTGATGAGAAAGGCAAGAGGGAAAGAGGTTGGAGTAACAGCGAGAGAGAAATAAATATACATGAAAGACCTTGGTGACGTACAAAGTGCTATGCAAAATTAGTAATTTATTCCTCCTTCACAGTCAAGAGGCTCTTTGGTCCAGTGCTGTGCGTGTAGAGGGCACTTAGGAGCAGTTGGGGTATTGAATATGAAGAGCAGAGGAGATTAGAGAGCAGCTGCGGGATCAGTCTGGGCTGGCCAGCTGTGCAGTGGGCCACACAGACAGTCTCCAGCCCTGGACTGGTGGTAGTTTAGAGCTTCTACGTTGATAGATGTATTAAGCCTGGAATAGGTTAAATCCTGCTGTGAAAAACAGTTCACCATGTGGAAAGTATTTTTAGCTCTCTAGAGTAGAAGTGCTTTATTGATACTGTTAGCAAAAATCTACTGAACAGAATTCTGAATTGGGAGCCCGTATAAACTCATTGTAACTCATGGCATCCATTAGCACATATGGACTTGGAGGTTTCTCTTCTGGTAGCGTGGGGTCAGTTTGTAGTGGGAACATCCAGCTCCCCCTTCAGGTTGGTATCCAACAAGGTTCCGTTCTCTGCCAAGCTCTTGCTATGGGGACATCAGTTATAAATAAACAAACACTTGCCTGGAACGTTATGGTCATCCTGCCCAGGCAGGCTCCCAGCTTTCTGATCACTGTCAGACACTAGCATTGGCTTCACAGTGTGTCCTGCTGAGAGTGGCATTAAACACTAATTGTGTATTTAAGTCCTCTGTGTGTTTTGCACCTGTTTACCCAAGAATATTAGTTAAAGATGTCTGAACAGAGAGCAGTCTGTTCACATGATGGAGAAGTTAGAAATGAAAGGCATTGCCGTACATGTGAAATTCACCATACTGAGGTCATTGAGGCTGACTTAGCTTTCTTCTTAAATCTTTGGAAATTTCTATCCCTCCGGTAAAGACAGCCCACGAGGCAGATGTTTCTGTCACTGTGTTCTGCTTTTTTATCTTGGTGTATTTTGCCACTGAATTTNTTCTCCCTGTATTCAAGCAGTATGCAGGGCCAGGAGATTCTGGGAGGACTGCCAGATTTGGGGGTGAAGTGGTGATGTGTGTGTAACTGAGGGAACCTCAATGTCGCCTCTGGAATACAGGTGTGGAACTGAGAACTCTGGCAGACCCAGAGGTTTAGGAAAGAGAGAAAAAAAAGACCAGGAAGGAGGAAACGTATTGCTAAATTAACGCCACCCCCTTTCTGTGCCTACTAACTAGCGGGTAAAGAAAGGGTGTCAGAATATGATTTAAATGCCGGGTCTGCAGTGACGTCACTGGGCGACGCCTGATGGCGAGCGGCCTTTCTAGAGCTCTCCCTGCTCAGCCTCCTGAGTCCCTGTGATGCCTCAGCTCTTACGTGTCCTTCCCTAAAGGAGAGAAACGTGTGGTCTGACTACCTTAGTCCCTTATTTTCCTCGCTCTCTTGCTCAATCCTAGAAACTACAATTCCCAGAAGAACTCACGGTGTGACCTGTCTCTTGCTGCATTCTTATTAGTTCATGTTTGTTACTTCCAGCCAATAGGAAGTTAGCACTTTGATAAGTGCCAAAATGGCGATACCTAGGACCTAGAACGAGACTGTCCGGTAGGCTTAATTTTGGGAGGTGGTGGATGAAAAGGAAATAGGGAATTATAGTTTCAGGGCTGGGGAAGGTGGAGGAAATGGGGGTGGGGTGGGGGACTCTAGATTTGGGAAAATCGAAATTTTGGGACGCAGCCAGAGCTAAGGGAGTAATTAGGCAACTGGAACTGTCTTAACCCTTTGCTGACCTTTTTACTCTTTGTATTAAGCCCCTTTGACACCCTCTTCCTAGTGCTCCAGTTCAAGGAAGGATGGTTCGGGCGGGAAGAACCTAACAGTATTCCTACCACCACCCTCCCTTACCCTATTTTCCTTTTCAGTTCTCCTGCCTCCCTTACATTTTCTTGTATCTTCGCCATTCCATTTAACTCAACCCTACCGTGTTCTTTTCCTCAGAATCTCCTCTCCCGTTCTCTAGCTCGATTTCTCCAACCTCAGAGCTGACTGCCATCAGCCCCGCCTTCTCAGAGTGAAATCATGAAGGTGGTGAACCTGAAGCAGGCCATTTTGCAAGCCTGGAAGGAGCGATGGAGTGACTACCAGTGGGCAATCAACATGAAGAAATTCTTTCCCAAAGGAGCCACCTGGNATGTGAACATGAAACATGGCACCTTTGAATACCCCAAAATCATCTTCTTAGTGGGTTTATGCTTATGGTGTCACTGGCGGTGAGTCTGACAGGAGGAGGAGTGGGTACAGTGTCTAGTGTCCGTGCCTCTTTTAATGGGTTGAGGAAGGCCATTTGAAGGGGCTGAAATTTTCGGAGAGCTGCAGCCACTTTAGCCATCAGTGTTTGTTCCTCTTAACCGTGGGACACTAATGGTCTGAACTTTGTCTTTCTTCTTTCCCTCTAGATGGTGTCCTACTCCTCGGTCCTCACAGCTATCAGTAAGGTAGGACCACAGCTCTTCACAAGCCAGGAGGGGAGCAGGGGGACAGAGATATGGTAGTGACAGAGGGAGCCCCACCTCCTTGACTGCCCTGATCACGTGACCACTGAGGCTGGACAGGCAGCACACAGTGCCTCTGGCATTGCTGCCTTCCATTGGAGGGAAGTAGGGGCTGACAGTTAGGAGCCCATTGCCAACATTAAAAGGATGCCAAGTGTGACACCTGAGGTGGGAGGAAAGGTGAGCAGGAATCCTGAATGCCCCATCTGCCTCGTGTGTAAGACCGGGGGTTGACGGGGGCATTCTGTAGCATTGCCACTGTTCTTTCCACAGTTTGATGACTTTTCCCGGGAGCTGTGTGTCCAGGCTTTGCTGGATATCATGGACATGTTTTGTGACCGACTGAGGTAATGACAGGGGTGAGGGGCTCACAAGCCCCATCCTTAGCTTAGTGTAAAGGAAAAGCTCCAAGTACATAGATTGAGCCCAACTCTGTGGGTTCCCACACTTCTTCCCACCCGCTCATTTGCACCCACCCGTTGCTTTTCTGCTTATACCCTGAGGACAAAAATGCCTCATCTGGATTTGGAATAGCTCATTTGAAATCCTGTCCAGTGGAAGCCGATGGGGCTGTCATGCCCGTCTTTGCTGGCTTCCCAGCTCCCCTCCCTAGTAGGGGAGTGCCAGGCACTCTGGGCAACATTGGTGTGGGTCAGATTTCAGCCTTCGGAGCAGAGACTGATCTTGCATCCTTTCCTGGTAGCTGTCATGGCAAAGCAGAGGAGTGTATTGGGCTGTGCCGGGCTCTTCTCAGCGCCCTCCACTGGCTGCTGCGCTGCACTGCAGCCTCTGCGGAGTGGTTCCAGGAGGGTCTGGAGGCTGGCACTCCGGCCGCTGGGGAGAAGCAGCTTGCCATGTGCCTACAGCGCCTGGAGAAGACCCTCAGCAGCACCAAGAACCGGGCCCTGCTCCACATCGCCAAACTAGAGGAGGCCTGTATGTCCCCCAGTTCCCCTGAGCCCCACCTGCCAGTGCTCCCATAGCTGGTTCTTTAACTGAGAGGGGAGAGGCAGGATGGCATCCCACTTTCCAGGAGGATCTGAAATCATCCCACTTCCTTTTTTTTCTCCCCATAAGCATTGCATACATCCCAGGGACTTGGGCAGGGTGGCACCCGAGCCAATCAACCAACAGGTATTTACTGAGCATTATTGTATGCCCAGCACTGTGCCAGGTGCTGGGGGCGGGGGGCTGGGGGGGCTACTGAAGGAGCATGTGGCAGGGTCCCTGCCCTCAGCCAGCGTACATGCTAGTGGGGAGAAAGACTAGCATGTAACATACATGAAAGAAATTAAGAGGACAAGGCAAGCACGCCATCCATCCTTGTGTTTGTCTCCATGTTACTGATCAGCTGAGAAACAAGTGACTCTAGTGTTTGAGCATTGCCTAAAATGTCCCTTTAAATATTACACCTGTCTGCTGTCAGGCCTGCTGTGCCATACACCTCTTCACTCAGGTGCACATGTTAAATATTGGAACCCTCCAGAGCCTGAGATCAGACAGATCACCTACTGGGAGGGGAAGAGTCTGGTATTCTGCACATGGTGCCAGCATGCCGCAGTCTTGCTGTGGCTTGGCGGACCACCCAAGGATCTCCCCTTCTCCCATAATGAGAATGCTAGAATGGGTTACCCCAGGTCTTCAGGACCTGGTTAAAGAACTTGTTTCAGGATTCGTATACTTATTACTTCTCAAGATATGTTTTATTGCCTATGAAAAATCCAGAAAGGTGACCACTATGTAAAAATGGGCTGTGTTGACAAGTTTATTACCTATCTTGCGTGCTTGATAAATGTTTATTGGCTGAAAAATGAGTGAATATTTAGCTTAATGTTAATGGATCTCAGGGCATAGCTTTTTGTTTTTTTCCCCATGCTACATGGAGGTTAATGGGCTAGTTGGTGCCATTATTCATCATTTGACCCTCTGGAATTGTAACTAGGATAAGTGACTTATAATTAAGTGCTAAATCATGCAGTATAGACCATGAGTCAGGCATTTAGGAGGAGAGATCAGTGGGTTGGACCAGTTGGGTAAGTTATTAAAGGAGCTGGGGCTTGAACAGAGACTTGAGGGACAGTGCGAATTGGAGAGGTGAAGATGAGTAGGAGGAGCATTTCAGGAGGGAGAGCAGCTGGAGCAAAGGCCCAGACAATGAGTGGATGAACCCGGAAGGCTGTGTAGTGTCTAACTTGACTGGGGTGGAGAGTGATGGCCACTTGGCAAGACTGGCCCACTCCTGAACAGTGATGTGTGGCTGCCTCCCTGTTCCAGTCACTGGACTCCACCCCCCGCCCCCGCCTCTCTGCCACTGCCTGTGTTAGAACGTACCTAGTCTCTACGGTCAGCTGCACATATCCCCTAGACGTCAGGCCTCTGGGAATAGTTTCTCGGGGCTTCACTGTTGGTATGCACCCCCCCTTCTAGAAACAGTGCATGCTGCCCCCAGACCCCCAGCCTCCATGTCACCCTCAGGGGAAGCCTCCCTGCGTGGTTTTGTGGGCCCAGGGGGCACCAAAGACCAGGAGTTTGGAGCCAGTCTCTCCCTCTCCTCTGTTTTCCATCATGCTTCTGCGTTTCCTTTTCTCTGCCAGCCTCCTGGACAGCCATTGAGCATTCTCTCTTGAAGCTTGGAGAGATCCTGGCCAATCTCAGCAACCCCCAACTCCGGAGCCAGGCTGAGCAATGTGGCACACTCATTCGGAGGTACCTGGCTCCCCGGGCAGTCGTGGTGAGGGGAGGTGAAAGGCCCTGGGTGGCGGTGGGATGATGTGGCATCCGGCCCCGACCCTCCTGCTCTCACCTCCTCTCCAACCCTTCCTAGCTCACCGAACACTGTCCTCTGTGTGTCTGTCCCCTCAGCATCCCCTCCATGCTGTCTGTGCACTCGGAGCAGCCTCACAAAACTGGCTTCCCCACAGTCCACGCACTGGTCCTGCTCGAGGGCACCATGAACCTGACAGGCGAGACACAGCCCCTGGTGGAACAGCTGATGATGGTGAAACGCATGCAGGTGGGAGGGCCAGAGTTGCTTCTCTAGCTCCGAGGTGGCTGGCCATTTGGGGGCAGGAGGGAGGATTCTTCTGGTCCTTCTGAGAGAAATAGCATTTCTCCTGCTCTTGGTGGAAAGTGGATCCCAATCCTGCATGGTTCTGCCATCTTACCTGACGTCCCTGGTTCTCACGTTAGAGTAGGGGAAGTGCCTGTGCTTTGTAGTCTCTGGCCCAGCCTGATCCCCAGGAGCCTGCAGAAGATGAAGGGGGGACGGGGCCCCCTCTTATGCCTCACCCTTGCATCTTCCCACAGCATATCCCCACCCCACTTTTTGTCCTGGAGATCTGGAAAGCTTGCCTTGTGGGGCTCATCGAGTCTCCTGAGGGTACGGAGGAGCTCAAGTGGACAGCCTTCACCTTCCTCAAGGTACCTGGGACATGGGAGCAGCAAAGGGCCAGCCTAAGAATGATTCTCAGGAAAAGCAGCAACACCCTGAACCTTTGCCCCATGTTTCTCCCCACTGGCGTCATGCTCAGCCTGCCAGATCCCCTAGCACGAGTTCCCATCGATAATTTTCTCTGAAAGTCCCAGGGCCATATTTAGCCCACTTGGCAGGCCTCTGCTGTTTCTTAGCACACAGGTGCTGTTCAGCTCAGTCGCCAGCCAGATTGGTGGAAGGCAGTTATGGGTGCCAGGGAAGTGGGCCCTGGTCTTGAAGCGGGGTCCCTGTGTCCTGTTGGCTGAGGGCATCGGGTGCTTGGGTCCCCATCAACTTTCTGATTTGACTCCCAAGAATGCTTTCACTTCCGGGGCAAGTGTGTTCCTAGCTCTCTGCCCGGAGCAGGGGGTCAGAGGGGATGCCTTTAGTTCTGGGTGAATGAGAAGAACTTGTGCTTTCTGTTTTTCCTCTGCCTCACCCTCTAGATTCCACAAGTTTTGGTGAAATTGAAGAAATACTCTCATGGGGACAAGGTGAGTTGAAGAGATGAGATGGGAGGGGCATGGGAGCAGGTGAAGTCTTGCTTCTGCCCTGGAGAAACAAGGGCAAGGGAAGGGTCACGTAGGCTGTAGCTGGGCAGTAGTGCAAGCTTATGCCCAGGGGAAGGGCAGTGTGTGTGTACCTGAGCCTCTGCTTCCATCACACACACGCACTCAGTCTTCAGGTTGCTCAGGAGTCAAGGTTGCCTGAGATGGTCAGGGCCAGGGGGGGTCATGCAGTGAGCAGTGACGTCCTACACTTGTCCCAATCTGGTTACTGGAAGCCAGTGGGTGGGCACAGCCAACTTGTAGGCTTTTATATCCAGAAGAGTGTCCTTGTTAGCCAGCATTGCAGGCTGTGGGTGGGGAGGAGGACCTAGAAGCCAAATGGCAGTTTCTGGCCACTTACAGGACTTTACCGAGGACGTCAATTGTGCTTTTGAGTTCCTGCTGAAGCTCACACCCTTGCTGGACAAAGCTGACCAGCGCAGCAAGTACGAACTCCCCTGCTCGCCCCCTGCACTCTACCGGAAGGGGTTCTGGGCTTTTCCACTGCTCTCCCGTCTCCTTGTTCACTCCCCTTGGCAGGAGCAGGCGGCAAAAGCCCTGTAGTTTGAGTGCCTCAGCCGCCTCTGCCCTCTCTACCTTCCCTTCTGCACTCCGAAGGTTCTTTATCCCAAAGGAGGGAGGATACGGGACCCATTGCTCCTGCCCCTCAGGAATCCCTGTCTCCTCATCATCTTTTTTCCTCACAGCTGTGACTTTACAGACTTCCTACTCCAAGAATGTAGGAAGCAGGGGCTTTTGTCTGAAGCCAGTGTGAACAACCTTATGGCCAAGCGGTGAGTGTGAGCTCCCTTGGGGCCGGTCCAGGGACTGGGGCCCACTTCCCTGGCTCCCATAACCGCCCTCCACCAATCTGGCTGACAACTGAATAGCACCTGTGTGCTAAGAAACAGCCGAGGCCTGCCAAGTGGGCTAAATATGGCCCTGGGATTTTTAGAGAAAATAATCGATGAGAACTGGTGCTGGGGGATCTGGCAGGCTGGCATGCCCTCCCTCTCATGTCTAGACTGGGCTGCGGGGTGTCTTTTCCACTCTTGTCTAGAGTTGGGGTTGCAGGTGACTGGGACCAGGCCTACGATTACCAGGACAATAGACACTGATTTCTGTAGACCAGGGTTTTTCCCTCTTAGGTGCTGCGCTTTAAGTCTCAAAGGCAAAATCCTAAATCTTCCTTCAATCTTCAATGAACTTTCAAAGTAGATATAATGACCAATGACAAATGGGAGCAATTGCAATATTGGATACACTTTCATAAGCGTCACCCGACACCCAAGGTTCTCATGTGCTTCCTACCTTCTCTGTGCCTCTGCTCCTGGGGCTGGACTAGGGAGCGTGTCAGGAATTTATCTCTATCCCTCTACTCTTCTCTTGGCTGACTGGTTATGGCCACAGTGCAGCAGACCGGGAGCATGCACCCCAGCCAAAATCAGGAGAAAATGCCAACATCCAGCCCAATCCTGGGCTGATCCTCCGAGCGGAGCCCACTGTCACCAATATCCTCAAGGTGAGTGTGCCCTTCCCTTGCCATCAGGGTCACGTCTTCCCCTCTTCCAGTTTTCCCTCTACTTCCAGATACATAATCAGAGGCCATACACTTCTCTCTTCTGGCTTTTATACATAGTTACTTTGGAAGTAGAGAAAGGGGGAAGGCAAGGGAAGCCACCACTGAAAACTAACGTTTTCACTGAGCATCATTTGTGAGCCAGGCACTGCGGTAGGTGCTTTCGTTTAGGTCATCTCAGGTGGAACATGGACAATCTCACAGTACTGACCTTGCCCCTGCAGCCCCACCTCCATCATCCCAGTTTAGTTGACAGGGATGGATTGGAGAGCAAGGATAGATTTTAGGAACTGTTTTCTAGATTGGAATCCGAAAGATGTAGATTAAATTGCAGGTCATGGCATACCTACTTGATGGAGATATACAGAGAGAAAGACTGTGGCTAGGCTGTACCTGGGGGGGTCTTCAGTGTTCTTCAGGACTTGATTTCCTGTCGTGTCCCCAGACGATGGATGCAGACCACTCCAAGTCCCCGGAGGGGCTGCTGGGGGTCCTGGGCCACATGCTGTCCGGGAAGAGTCTGGACTTGCTGCTGGCTGCAGCTGCTGCCACTGGGAAGCTTAAGTCCTTCGCTCGGAAATTCATCAAGTAAGGAAGGCTGAGCTCCTGACCAGGGTTGGGGACGCATATCTGAAGGAGGAGGTAGCAGGATAGGGGCAAGGTGCTGGAGTCTGGGTCTCCCCAGAGATGCCCAGGCCAAGGCAGAGCATCCCAGCTGGAGACCCTGGGGGAAAGGCCAGTTCTTTGGACATTTTTTTCTCTTCAACTGAGGATGAAGTGGATTCGTTTGAGGAGGTAATGAGGCATTGAACCTTTGGCATGGAGGGATCTCCGTGTGTGTTATTAATCAAGAGCTCTCAAATTCTGTGGACTTTACTTTGGTTGGCTTAGAATTTGATCTATAGAACATTGTTCTATTCAGCAAGCCATTCTCTAGGCCTTGGAAATCTTTTAAAAATAGTTCTTTTTACCTGTAGCAATGGTGTCCGTTTTAAGTTTAACCTGTAATTCGGACTCTAGTGACCGCCTCTCGGAGTGGGTGTAGCTACCCGCTCTCCCAACTCCAGCTGTTGCTCAGCCCTTGCCCAGGTCGGTGCAGCCTGTCTCCATTCTTTCCACAGTTTGAATGAATTCACGACACATGGCAGTGAAGAAAGCAGTAAGTCAGCACTGTGAATCCCCAGGCCCGCTTGGCACTGAACGGGCTGTGGGGGGAGAGCTCGGGAGGGAAAACGATGCCTTTGCTTGTCCTGGGAGGCTGTTCTCTCCCCAGAGCGATGACTGGTGGAGCTTTTGGGGAGGCCTGAAAGAGGGCGCTGCTGGGAAAAGCATTCTTCCACCACCGCCCCTTGGTCTCTCTCACTCCCCCCTCATGATTTGGCTGGGGGTGGTGGGGGGAGGGAAGGTATAAGGAACCCAAGGAAGGAATGATGTTCCAATTAAGACTCAAGAAAAGGATTCTGAGCCTCAGAGCTTTGAAGGAGCCACTTGGTCCCTGACCTTCCTTGAAGTGAGTCCTGACTCCTTCGTGAGCCAGGCGAGGGCGCTGGGCCCCTGCCCGAGCTGAGGGGTCAGCCTTCTCATCCTTCACAGCCAAAGCAGCCTCAGTTCGAGCCTTGCTCTTTGACATCTCCTTCCTCATGCTGTGCCACGTGGCCCAGACCTATGGCTCAGAGGTGAGTGAGAGGAGAACAGGTGGGACTAGGGACACTAAGTGGGTGGGGCAAAGAGGGAGGAGACAGGTATTTCTCCCCTACCACACTCGCTACACCCTCCCCCCACCCCCATCAGTCTCCCAAGCCCATTAGTCCTGCTGGCTGCAGAAAGCAGGTGCCCACCCAGGAGGAGTCAGTAGATGCCCCCCTTCACATCATTAACCTTCAGTGCCACATTCACACCGACCACTGGGTGGCAGCATAGCCCTTGTCTTTCTCCTTGACACCAATTGGTCCCCAATTCTTCAGGCCAGGAAGGGAGGAAAGCTGCAGGGCAGGAAACTGAGGTGCGGGGTGCCGCGCCCTCCCCACTCAGCTGGTGACTCTGCCTTTCCCAGGTGATTCTGTCTGAGTCGAGCACAGGAGCAGAGGTGCCCTTCTTTGAGACCTGGATACAGACCTGCATGCCTGAGGAGGGCAAAATCCTGAACCCTGACCACCCCTGCTTTCGGCCTGACTCGACCAAAGTGGAGTCCCTAGTGGCCCTGCTCAACAATTCCTCAGAGATGAAGCTGGTGTCAGTGGCCTGGGCGCCCACTCCAAGGGTGGCGGTGGGGGCGGCGCCAAGTCCCTTTCTCCTAGCCCATCCCGCACTCCCCTGTAGTGATTTCTCTCCCCCCACTTTCTCTCCCCTCCCCACCCCCTTGTAGGCAGATGAATTGGCACGAAGCTTGTCTCAGCATCTCAGCGGCCATCTTGGAAATCCTCAATGCTTGGGAGAACGGGGTACTAGCCTTCGAGTCCATCCAGGTAGCCTCACCCTTCCAGCAGCCTTCTCTTTTCCCTGGGACACAGAGCCAGTCTTGGATAGTTTGTTATATTTTGTAAGAACAAGAAGACCCTTAATCCAGGAGCTCATGTTTGGATGTTGATCTTCCTTGTAATCATAATATGAGCCACTTTGTTCTACCCAGGTAACTTTGGGAAAAATCAAACTTGTGGTGAAAAGATATGTGGAATGTGTCCGAGGAATCCACCCGCTGCACTTAGCTGCCCGCAGAGGATGGGGAAAGTGGTAGCCAGGGAAGGGGACACAGTGGCCCTCGTCACCCTTTTCTCCTCTCCCAGAAAATCACAGATAATATCAAGGGGAAGGTGTGCAGCCTGGCAGTGTGCGCCGTGGCTTGGCTTGTGGCCCACGTGCGGATGCTGGGGCTAGATGAGCGTGAGAAGTCGCTGCAGATGATCCGCCAGCTGGCAGGGCCGCTGTACAGTGAGAACACCCTGCAGTTCTACAATGAGAGGTCAGTAACCCAGTCCCTCCCTCCTGGGACTCTGCAGGTCTGCTGTGAGAAGTCAGCACCTCCAGTAACCAATATCCTCCTCTTCGCTTACCTTCCCAAACATGCTGCTCACTTCCTCCCTCACTTCCTCATTCACGGGTTCAGACACTGACTCAGTAACATTCAGTGTGTGTCCCTGTGCCAGGGGTGTTCTAATTCAGCACCTGCTGTGTCTCAGAAAATACAGACCCCAAACAGCTATGACTTCTGCCCTGAAAGAGGTCAAGTTCTGGAGAACTCGCTTGCCAGCAGAACAAAGTGATTGTCTTAGCAGCGTCACTGTCTAGGAACTGTGAGCCCATCTGGGGATTTTAGAGGCCTTGGGTCTGCCCACCCCCTGTCTGGCTATCTTTTGTGACATTTTTCTGCCTTGGCTTTTCAGGGCTTGGAGGGACCTCCCTGGTGACTTCAAGCTATGTTGAGTTCAGTGATGTTGGTTCATTCACCCATCCAATAAGCTTTTTTTCTTTTTAATTGTAAAACATAGATAACATAAAATCTAGCAACTATTTATTTTTAAAGATTTTATTGGGGAATCGGGGGAGGGGGACAGACAAGTTGCTGTCCTTTTGTTCTTCAGTCTAGTTGTGGAGGACGGTGCTTCACTGGCCCATGTTGGTATTATCATTGCCCTCTTCCCGGGTGAGGCAGTCGCTTGCCGGCCATTGGACGGCCGCTTATGGCGGCTCACGGCAGCTCACGAAAGCTCACGCCCGCTGCTGGCCAGCCCCACTGCAGCTTACGCTGTCGCAGGCGACTCATGACAGCCCAGCTCCAGGTGGAGCTGTTGTTCACTATCTTAGCTGTAGAGGATGCAGCGTCACTGGCCCTTATGTGGGATCCGAACCAGGGCCCTGCTGCTCCGAGCTGGCATCCCAAGCCAACTCCTAACCAACACGCCACTCGGCTGGCCCCTAAC